AAAGTGGTAATAAAAATCACTTTCTCACAGTATTTGGAGCACTGGAAGGTGCAATGAGTGTGTAATGAATGGCAATGTCACTGGGCCACAGCAGTTCTCCAAAAATGGTGGCTACTTATTACCTACCGAGTGATTTTGAATCTCTTTCATTTGTTCTCTCTCCTGAGACACTAAGACACTTTTATCTTAAGATAAGAACATTGCCATAATGGGTCATGTTTATGGCACGCTGTTTGCCAATAGCACATGAGGGTAGTGGTGGCCTTGACTCCATGGAGCAGGAGTAACAGGAGCTGGACTGCTAGAGCTGGGGAGCAGGCAAGGAGCCTCACTCTTCATTCCTTTCTGCTGTATGGATTCTAGAGGAAAGAGACAACTTAATTAGGTAATGATAAAAAAAGAATATTGTAATTCAACCCTTTCCTGGAAAAAGTCACTGGACTAAGAAAATATTCACTACTTTCAACCAACGCTCCAAGAGCAGCAACTGAAAGTATTCAATTAACCATTTCAGAGAAGAGAAAAAAAGAGGGAAAGCCATTTTATTTATTTCATGAATGTGGTATCCACCCTCCAAGTTGGCCCCCAGTGATCCTCCCCTCGAGGTATTCACATTCTTGTGTAGTCCATTCCCAAATTTTTCCATGGTTGGTCCGTAGGACCAATAATATATTGCAGAAGTGAGAGATAGTTACATCCTTATGAGATTAGGTGACAAACAGATTACAGCTTCCATTTTGGGAGCATGCTTGCTCTGTCCAATCACTGATTTAGTTGCCACGTCATGAAGACACTTAGGCCATACGTGGAGTGGCCCACAGGGTGAGGAATGAACACCACCAGCCAACAGCCTCTGAGTAACTGAGAACCGACAAACACATGAGTGAGCTTGGAAGTGGATTTTTTTTGAATCCCACTCTAATCTTGAAATGGCTGTAGTCCTAGCGGACAACTTGGTTGTGACCTCATGAGAGACTCTGAGCCAGAACCATCCTTCCCTCAAACCATGACATAGTATGTTTGACTTTCAGATGCTAAGTTTGGGGGCAATTTTTTATGCAGCAATAGATAACTAATACAATAAATTTAGTAAAAATTTGCTACTACAACTTAAATATGGACAGTAGAACAAAAGATAATTATAAGCCAATGTGTTCTTCAAGAACACAGTTGTGAAGATCCTAAAAAATGTTAAAAATTAGAATTCAAACTAAGGGATTTAAAGAACTTGATAAAGTAATACTACAGTTAAGGTCTTAGGAAAAAGGTTGCAGAAAAGCCAATAAATTTTTTAAAAGTACAGGTATGGAAGCCAGCCAGACCGGGCATCCAAACATGCTAATGATGTAGTAATTAGTGTAATATCATGTTAGTACAGGACTAAAAAATTAACCTAATAGATTGGAATGTCTATTATCTTTTTTATTCTTTTATTTTCATTTATTTTTTGGCCTGTACAGGGATCAAAAACCTTGGTGTTATCAGCACTGTTCTGACCAACTGAACTAACCAGCCAGTCCTGGTTCAGAATGTCTAAAAGGCCTGTACACTTATGAAACATTTTTATATGAAAGGGAGACATTTCTACAACTGGGTAGGGCAAAGCTCAAACTTGTAATGAAAACAACTCGTTTATTCATTTTTTTTAAAGTTCAAACTGACAGGCTGGCCGGTTAGCTCACTTGGAAGAATGTGGTGCTGATAACACCAAGGTCAAGGGTTCAGATCCGGGTGCAGGCCAACTGCAAAAAATAAAAATAAAAAGTTATATCTGACAACTTTTATTGAGTTAATCAATAATTTCTAATGTAGTTACTTGATTTTTGTTTGTATTTTTAGCCACTAATTTTTTACAATTTATTCTTTATTGACAAATTATAAGCACTTATAGCGTACAATGTGATGTTCTGAAATATGTATAGAATGTAGACTAAATTAAGCTAATTAGCATATACATTATCTCACATACTATCCACTGTTTGTGGTGAGAACATTTTTTCCTTTGTTCTTTTATTTTTTTATTTTAACTTATTTTATATTAGATCGAAATTGATTATACATATTTTGGGGGTTCAACATTGAGATATGTTGATCAAATCAATATTACTAGCATATATATTACTATAGATCATAATTATTCTTTATGCCCCTTGTCCAATCTTTCTCCATCCCCATCTCCCTCCCCATTCCCCGCTCTATTTACCCTAGATTCCTTCTCTCCTTCCGTAGGAGTAATGGTTACTCTGTTGATTTGTTGCCTAGATGCTCTGTCCAATGCTGAGAGGTGTGATCAGGTCCCCCAGTATTATCATAGAGCAGATGCTTCTTCTGTCACTCTGGAATGGGCTTTGCAGAGAGAGACGTCCTCTTCTTTCCTTTATCTCTGCTGGTGACTCTCCTTGTGTCAATGCACTCCAGGGGCTGGTGGACCATCTACGTGGTGGTTGTGGCATCTAGCTGCTTTTGCGGCAGCCATGATTACTGTGGTGGCTGTGCTGGGCCACCCACATGGAGGTGATGTTTTTGGCATGCTCCTTGGTGCCGGTGGTGTACCTGGTGGTGGGGAGTGTCCAGTCCCCGACTCCATACCTTGGGTCCCCGGGCGGGCCCCGAGGCACTGGCGCAGTGTGGTTTTTGAGGTAAGTTGCATGAGAGGTATTTGAATTTTCATTGGTGCCCACCAGCTGCAAAGAAATCACTAA